GCATGGACGCGCGTGGGTTGAACAATGTACTTTCGGCGGAGTGGATGCCGTTCCACTACGACGGCCTGTTCAAAACGGAAAAGAGGGTGAGGGATGATGGAAGCGAAGAATTGGTGTCTACGCCACCACTGTAAGTCATTCCCTGCCTCCGTTACCATGATCACTACTAAAAGCTTTATCAGATTCCAATTTTTCACCGCCGTCACGGAGTCTCCGAAAAACACCGGCTTTACCCTATTCTCATCATCAACACTACTATTCAAATACCTCCCCTCCCACCTTTCCCTCTCTTCTCTCCGCCCCCTGACTTGGGCCGTGTCTACATCTTCCTTCAACTCCACAACCCTTCACGGCCTACCCTTAGTCGTCGATCACCCCGCCACAAATCGTCCCTGCCTACGTTTCCACGAGCCATGGCCCCAGTCTAAGACGCGATTCGATGCCACACACATAACCATTGATAATGCGAGTATGCATGGTGTGGATAGTACGAGCGTGTGCGATACGCTAACGAGCCTGCTGCACGATCGTCGCGTTGCGTACTACCATTCTTGGGAGAAGGGCGATTTGCTAGTGAGCGACAACGTTCTGGCTATGCATACGCGAAGCGATTTCACGGCGGGGTGCGAGAGGGAGCTTTGGAGAATACATTTTGATTGAGTAGTACATACCCACCCGGGTACGTAGTACCTACTCATATACCTACGCGGGCATTTGCAGATCGTATTTCTAAGGGATAAGCAATAAGCAACATCTGCGGCATTTTTGCTATTCTGTTCAAATGGGAGTCTGAGGATTTCCTTGGGGTTGTTCGGCTTTTACGCTAGTTATTTAGTCTATCTAGGTTCTTCCTCGCGAATACTATAGTTATTTTCAGTCCGGGGATAGGTGGTGATTGTTCCAAAGTCCTAGGTTTCAATAAAATGGCTGGAGTTACGAAATATGAAAATATTGTTGGCTTTTCAATCTCAAGCTTACATTGAATCTTGATACCTCCCTATCTTAGCTTAGCCAATGACCAAGTGAAATTCTCGGTCGGCGCCGCCACCACATAGCATTCGATTTTCCCTTTTACCTATTTCTTTCAAGCTCATTTCCCTTTATATACTATTCTCCTTGTCTCAATTTCACCTATTATTAACCCCGGCCTCGTGCACATAGGCCATAAAGGGGCGGGATAATAGGGGTATCTGGATCACGTGATTCAAGAGCCCTACCTTAATCCGATATTACATAAGCACTCATTTCACCTTTAAATGCATCGTCCTATTTGCGCTATTAACAAACAGCCACTTTTACATTCCTCCTAGTAAGCAAGTCCGTCAAACAACGGGAAACGAATCTTTCCAAGAATAGCTCCATTAGATTGATTCAAGATCAAACGAAATGTTACCAATAATAGTTTATGGTTTATATTGCCATAAATTTCAAGCCTCCACTACACGTGGCGGGCTACTGCCGAAGACGTGTTCAAACGCACCGAATCCGATTGACGAAGTCGCCAAGTGATTCCGCGTAATAAACAAATAGGTTAGCTTAAGAGCGACCGGGGTATTGTTTGTGATCGACGGAGGATCTATCATGTAGCCACTGGCGTCATTCCTCTACCATGGTCCATGGAACTATGAATCGCCGTATCTACGTATCTAAGAAATCTTCGCTCAATCTTCGAACAAAAGATCCCCTCGAACAATTCGAAAAGATGGGATTTTACGGAAAAACGTCGATCGGGAAAACCAATCTGATGATCCCTAAGGCGGATGCTTCTTGAGAAAAACACATCGTGACAGATTCGGGTCACGGCGGGGAACGGACTAAACTATGGTCCAATCACAGAGACATACATGTAACCCGGTAATCTTGAAACAGATTTTCTGCATGGTCCTTCGCCAAGGGTAAAAGCCCTAGGCTGATCATGGATCGTCAATGGGTCCACGGTTGATCCGGCTTGATCCAGTCCTGGTCTTTCGTTTGTCGTCGCTCCCAATTCTGCCTCCGATTGGCGGCTTCATCCCACCTTCGCGCGTGTTTCGAAACAATGAGGAGGCGGGCTGGCATCGACTCGTTTCAGGTTAAGCCGACCATCGAATGGCCTCCAGTCACTTTCTCTAGTGCTACATACGCTCTGCCAGATGGCCTAGGGAGTTAGCAAGGTTAGCAAGGCTCATTCGACTAGCGAACGATGCTTGTAGGCCTCCTCCCCAATAAGCAATCAGCATGGGGTGATGCTGGGGACCGCGACCCTAAGTATGACGGAGCATACGGGGGTTACTTGCGTTTGGGGGGTAATATATCACAGAAAAGGTAGCCGAATGCACGCGGGTGCGACCTTCAGGCTGCCCAACGTAAATCTCCAGTCCTGTTGTCCTTCGTAACTATCCTTATTTTTTTTCCCTTTCGATTCAGCTTTTGATCGCTTATTCCTTCGCAATACCACCCCTATCGTAGCCTTTCAACACTCGTTCAAGACACCAAAAATTGCCAATTGTGATTTAAAACAATTCAATGGATCATCCATCGAGGGTATTAGCGCAGGCGCGGGAGCATCTCGAGGCTCTCAAGCAATCCGGTCTCAGCCGTGACGCTTTACTCGCGTTATTAGAAGAGCAACCGCAACAGCAGCAGCAACAACAACATCAACAACAACAATCGCAGCAGCCGCAAAATGCAATGGTAACCGATGGTACGAGATTACCACCAACATTTCGCGAATTCTTCACTAATTGACTCACAATTGCAGCCTCATTGCCTAATTTCAGCTACAGAGACGTCAATTCCTTCGGTCAACCCCACAGACAACGATCTTCCATCTCATCATCCCGATCTAGCTGTTCGAGTCGTGACAGCGTTTTCTCTTCAGCATCCGCACGCAGCTCAATATCGTCGACGACAGCCCCAGCGACAGATGCGAAGTTTTGGTGCACATCCTGCGATAAGACGTTCAAAAGGAAATTCGATTGGAAGCGACATGAGGAGGAATTCCACGAGCGATCGCGCAAATATCCCTGCCCTAATTGCAATCAGAGCTTCTGGGGACCTAACACGTTCAATCAGCACCACAAGTCAGCGCACGGTTGCAAGACGTGTCCCCATGCAGACACCGTCGTCAAGCATCTGAGAAAGAGGAGGGCGTGGGGATGCGGATTTTGCGCTGCGATGCATGGCAAATTCGAGAAACACATCGACCATGTCGCCGCACATTTTGAGACCGGGAGCACGAAGGCGGATTGGCTGCATTCGAACGTTATCTATGGTCTTTTGCATCAGCACCTGATCCATGAGGCGTGGAAGTTATTGATTGCGAGAAAGCAGAACGAGTTCAATGGTCATCAACCCATGTTCAGCTGGAGTCCCGAATCGACGGGACGGGCCCAGGGATACGTAGAGAACGAGAATCCCCCGCAGCTACAAGATCTTCTCGAGTTTTTCGACGGGACCAAGGAATCCGCCGAGAATATCGTCGAGATGGCTTATACCTGCGTTCACGTCGTCTTCCGGCCGAGGTCAGGGTCTGTTACTCAAGGCTCGCCCCAGTCGTCTTTAGGTCCGACGTCCCCAACCAATCCGTCCAAACACATATCTGTCATACCCAGGAACCCCTCAGCTCCACGGCGCTCCGCATCCACATCCGCGTTACCCGGGGTAGGCCGGCACAGTAGACGAACACCTTCTGGTGACTACCCCCACAATACCGTTTCAGCCCAAGTATCGAATTTAAATTTGGCCATGCCAACGGTTCCTAGCCAACAATCTATGATGAACGCCTATCAAAGCTTTCCCATGCAGCCGGCTCCGCAGCAGAGGTACGTGCCACCGCCTATCACGACAGACAAGGCACTTCCACCAGCTCCACTGGCGCCCTCACCGACTTCACCGATGCAAATGGACTTTCCGATCTTCAACACGGAAGAGGGGCTACTGCCGCCGCTCGACCTATCATCGGAAGACTGGCGGAGCTTCGCGAGCACCCTGGTCGAGGTAGAAGAGGAGCCGGCTCATCCTCTTTCCTCCGGCCAGTTTCCCATGAGCTGGGAAGACTTGGGACAATTCAACACAAATTCATGAGGACGATGATGATAGCGGTGGCTGTGGTAATGCAAGGAAGGCGTTTTAAAAAGCTCTGGAGCTTGTATTGTAATGTATTCGACTGAAACGGGACGGTTATGCCCGGGCCCAGGGGCTCGGCTGGACAGCATAATGTAATGATAGCGGACGACAGACAGCTAGGCTGTGAGACGAAATGTTTGATACGCGCAAATACAACGAAATGATTGTACCCACCTACGGTTCCTTATGACGTGGATTTGACCTATGATTTTCGAGGAGATATGACTTGAGTAATGTTTTCGAAACCAAATGAAAACGCTGCTCCCAACTCGGGTACCAGTCTAGCCAATGACTACCAGGCACGCAAGCAGGTAGTACAAAGGCAGATTATCCAAAGAAACCAACAGCATTCTAGTTAAGTATCACTCCCTAGGTACCTACAAGACCTCCGATGCATGCCATTGTTGACCGAATATCGAATATCTCCCGACTCCCACACGGGAGTCACATGCCATCGGTTTTAGCTGCGGCTCAACTCAAGGTTCACCTAATAGAAAGCATGAAACTAAGTTCCCGTCCCAAAATAGAGGATAACCAATCAGACTCATCATCCTAGGACGGAGACTTTGAGCTAGGTGTCTTCGTTTCCTAATCGGGCAATCCCGGTAACTCAATTATGAAGATCGGAGGCAATGACGATGTTGAAGGTTACACAAGGATTCTTAATACAACTGAATGACATGTGATGATATCCATATTCAACGCGGACATCAATTAAATAAATGGAGAGATCGGGGGAAATAGCCAAATTAGATTAGATATTAAAGAGTAAAATGATCGCGTGCGGGAGTGAAAATGGTGAACTCCACTACAGTCACTACAGTGGGGATTATGCATACGACCGTAGCGAAAGGGCGAGAAATTTTCACGATAAAAAGGAAGGTCAAAAGAATTAGCTTCACTCCGTTTCGATCAGAGGTCCTCCGGGTTATGAGCCCGGCGCGCTTCCACTGCGCCATGAAGCTTCGAATAGGTAGTAGGTATCCTTACTAAGCGATGGTGGAAATTTTGCTGTGTTAGCCTATGAACCTATCCGCCGATGTAGGACCTATGATTCACATCGCAAAAATGCCCAGTTTTCAGTCTCATTGGGTGGACTTTATATTGATTTTCGTAAGAAAATGTTCAATTATGTCCGTAATATGAGTGGATTGCGATTGTGTATTATTTATACAGTTATGTTGTCGTTAACACAGGTTGGAATATTTCATAAAGTTTCTCCTGCAAAACCTCAGGCCACCAACATCGGCATTTATTGGCCATCGCATACGATCGTATATAGGAACCAAAACAGTACGATGCTTAGAAAATAAACATAATAAAATGCAAGTAGGTGTTCAATATATTTACCTAATCCAATATTGCTTATGTCATACAATCTTCCGAAAAATCCCACCTACCAGTACCAATTTCAAGTTACACCATAGTCACATTCTCAGGGGTACCTGTATGTAATCTGCCATCTTTTCAACTTAGAACCAAGTCACTTGACTAAGCTTAGATTCTTAATGCAAATAAGACGTTATCGCCTTTTTCTCCGCTTGAAATTTAATGATTCACTCTTATTTCTATTGTATTTCAAGATGATACCCAAGTTGGACTCCTTGCATCCATTCATAGATACCTAGGTATTTTCGCATACGTGTAGGAAATAACAATTAAATTAAGGAAACCAACAGTTCAACTTATTGAAGTATATAGGGTGAGAATACAAGTTATATGTGATAGGTACTTGAAACTTGAGTTTGGAAGAGCTGGTGTAACATGGGAGAAAATTGATGCCGTTATAGGTACCTATGTGACTGGTCATAAAATAAATATCACGAACCTAAACATACCACTAAGATCCTTTCAAGGTGGTAGTTATCTCTGCATACTAGATTTTCGCAAGAGAAGATCCCCTGTTACCTGTCCTCATCTCTCTTTCCCACTCCTCGACGTTCACATACACCCTAATAGTGATAGTTATATCTTGGACTGATATATGTGTCAACCTATCCATGTATGATTCTAGGTAGGTCTTCCTGCCCTGGTAATTACAAGAAGAGTGATGGCGTTATTTAAGTTTATCTACCGTAGGGTCGATTTCTTTCACTCCAGAACTAGCCGTCTCCAACGTGATGAGGAAGCCACTTTCTCGACATCTATTCCAATTCCTAGGCACACTCATAGGTCTCCGTAATGATTGCAGACAATATTATCGCCCAAGAAGTTAACTCTTGTTGGGTAAGTAACCGACATATTATTTAACCTTGAGCTTCAAAAAGGACTGGTCACTCAATGCTACTCACATGTGGTAGCCCCTATTGCTATGAGAAGAATCTCTCATATCCCTTTAACAGTATTAGGATGTAATATATCTACAATAGATACGTATGTAAGCAAAGATAGTAGCGCGCCGACCACGACATCAGATTGAATCCCATTAATGAAGAGTATCTTCAGGTTAGGCAAACTTCAATCTATCAAGGAAATTCTGTTCGCAAACACTTGCCGTCCATGGGGTTTCAAATAATGCGTAGTACGGAGGTGAGCCGTGAATGTTCTAATGAATGTTGGTGTCGAAGTTAAGCTGCATTGATTTATTGCATGGTAAGATCTTGAGCATATACTTATATGTTGTTTCGACATTATGTCATACTATTCTGCAGGTTGTTCCGCGGGTTACATCGCGCCACCATGAGTCGATGTGGACGTAAGAAGTTTCGAAACTTGTAATTTCTTGTAATTTATGTGTGTATGAATAAACTGAACTTCAAAATGTGTGCAACGAGTGCAAGTGTCGATGGGATCCTATAATTTCCTACTTATATGCTAGCGGGCTTCAGTCCGTTAAACAAGGGAGGTTCTCCTAAACTTCAGCCCCTAGACCCCAATATACGTAGTTCTTATTTCGAAACACCGCGCCGCATTGAATAATTAGGAAATGATCCTCCAGGCCTTACATGGCAGCTGTAAGCTATGTGAACGTCTAAATCCTGCTAGAGATTAAGTTACACAGCCCCGTGAGCAAACACACGATCCTACCTAATAATAAGCTCAAAAAGCAAGAATAAGAACTAGTTGTTAAAACTAGGTAGTTATTGAAGTGTTGGTGCTGGAAATATTATTACTTACTCTCTATTCTTGTCAACCCTTACCTTTAAAGGGGGCCGGCATCTAGTCCGTAATTGTATCATCGCAACGAGTTGCACATTGCGCGAAATTCGGAGCGCTGGCCGGATCTGCAGCTACTTCAGGACCGGGGCTGACCAGCCCCGGATTGAGGTATGGCAGGCACCGAAATGAGTATTTTTAGCATCCCAATCTAGATCCAGACGCTTCAGACGACCAGTCTGCACCGAGTCCCTGGGCGGCGCAGCCGTCATTTATTGGTCGCACATTGGCCAATATATTCTAAGCCGGCGCCATGGTACTCCCAATGATATGGTGCTGATGGGCTGCAAGACAAACTACCATGTACTTCGGTACCTGTTCCAAAGTGGCCTGTGAGTGCTGTTCCTGAATGTAAACTTCAGATTGAAGTGAAGTCTTCGCATCCTGAAGGACGCTAATATAAATTGTGTGTTTGCCCTTTCGTTTCGTAATGTATCATAAACGGTAGGCATCGATCTCGTTCGTGAGTAAAAACAACTCAGCTGCTCATCACCAGTCTTGCGCAACACCATACAGCCAAAATGGTTCAACTCGAAAGTATCAGACGCATAGCTTGCCTCGCGGCTTGCGCTTTGCTCGCATGCCCAACTAATGCAGCGCCGGTAGAAACCACCGAGTTGTCTCAGCGTGATTCCGCAGCCGCAGTCGCAAAGCGAACCATTCTCTGGGAGTGGACCTTAACAGCCGAGCTGAACAGCAAGCCCGCCATCAAGAATTCGGCGAATGAACTGGCCTCATCACCCGTCATCCACTCGATAACCAACTGGGAGACGAAACGACCGGCCGAGTTGCCCAGCAAACTCGCCTTCCGCCCGATGGTGCGCACGCCACAGCAACTTAGCGGCACCGATTGGAACAACATTGTCTCGCAAGCATCATCGCAGAAGGGCACCATTGTGCACTTCTACAATGAGCCGGAATTGAACGGAATCAGCGCCGCTGACGCGGTGGCGAAATGGCGGGCGAACATGCTCCCGCTCCGACAGAAGTACGGTGCGAAACTCGTTGCTCCCGGCATTTCGAGCGCCCCGAATGGCGCGTCGTGGCTGCAGTCGTTCATGGGTGCGCTAGCGGCCAACGAGAAGCCGGACTACATCAACTTGCACTTCTACACGCTCCAGAACAGCCAGAGCACCCAAGAAGTCCAGAACGCGAAGACGTACTTCACCGACAAGCACAACCAGTACAAGCTACCCGTTATCGTGGGCGAGATCGCGAGTATCAATCGTGACGGCAACCAGGTGATGACGTTTACGAAGCAGATGTCGAACTGGTTCGATAGCCAGAGCTGGGTAGCCGAGTATGGCTTCTTCGGCGTGTCGACCAAGGTCACCAACGACTACGTGAGTCCTGCGGCGCAGATGCTCGATGCAAACGGCAACTGGACGCCCCTTGGGAAATGGTGGATTGGCAAATAAGAGGGGCAAAAGGGATAGGGTATTCATGCAGGGACGCGACGGGACTCGGAGTTTTTTATGTTCATTTTTTCTTCTCTTCTCGAACAAATAACCCTGCTGAGATGATTCATCTGGGGTGACGCGTACGACATCGTCTGCACTGACCACGCTCGTTTTATATTTGATATTCTTGTATATATTATCCTTCCATGTACCTATACAATTTAAATGGCAGTGGCCTGCGCTTCTTTTCTAAGTTTTGTGCTTGGATGTCTCCCTCGTTCGAATCTCAGTTTGTCCCAATCGGCCTCGCCGAGGTATGCGCAATTGACAATTTTACAACTGATGGTAAATATTATGGTATTGTTCGAGGTATAGATAGGTACACACCTGGGTACGGATATATTGATTGAAAGTTTGATGGTCTGTGTGTCGGCTAAGATAGAAAATTTTTAAAAGTGATGGATATCTGCAGACGGGTTGGGTGAAAACGAATGAAAGAAATCAAGTTTTCTACGTGGACAGCTTGATGACTTGTCACTTTTGATCAAATTTCCCCGGTCCGTTGGCGAATTAATTACCGTAAGGAGAGAGAAGGCTGGCTCTGTTGGGACAATTCGAGACATACATCTTTGTACGCACAGTATCGAATTCTCGGAGACTTGATAACTCCCCCGGAGATTGGGACTTGGAATTGATGGATTCGACAATGCTTAGATCTTTTTTTAAGACACCTTGGGTCCCGCTAATAACGCCATGAACTATAATTGATCCCGGAAATCGATCCCGGATTTCGGAACCGGAGGTGGGCGATCTGAGGTCAAATAGACGTAATTTCACATAATCTCGATGACTGATTATGGGTCCTGGATCATGAGGAAATCAGAATGAAACCCTAAGGGACCAAGACCCCGTATCCGAGGAACCCTGTTATCAAAGCTGTAAAAAAGTCATGACTGAGCTGCCAGAACAAGATGGCAGCGGAAGCTAGGCAGTAGTTCAACCGAACAAGCCGAAGTGGCTCTTAATATGTTCCTAGTGATGCCGATCTTTTACGGATCATAGCCCTACATTAATTCGCTATTTATGTAGGTGTCGATACCTGTATTTGGGATTTGGGATCTCCTTACAGATATGATTGCCTACAAACTCCGGGGTGCTTTTCAGCACGAACAAAGCAAACATGGCTAAAAGAAATCCCAATATCTTGGTGTTGACCCCCACTAATTTGGCGGCCTGTCTTAGATTTACCCCAACTACCGGGGGCCTGGAATTACTGTCGCAATGCGTGTCAGCGCACGCGAGCTCGGCAGGTCGGGGAATTTCGCCCAGCTCTCAGTTCTAGAAAAACCCTAATCATCGTTCGATGAAGAGATCTGGCCAGATCTTCCCAACTACGCATGAAAATGTTG